CTAGGGCCACTTCACCCAAAATGGTAAAATCTAATTTCAGCAAATAATTCTGCTAAGTCAGTTCAGCAAGAATCCCTCATCCTTAACACTTCATTATCTTTACCTGATTAAAATTCTTATCATCATTAGCATCTGATCACTCTAATCTACCTTTTGAAATAATTCCTCCCAAAGTCGATATCTTGTTTCAGTGATTTTCTGTCCGCTAATCAAGGGGTTGCTGGCCATTAGGCCGTGAACAAGTACTGGTTTGTGGCCTGTAATGAAGAGGCTATTTCCTGACTACAAAGTAGGAAATGAGCAGCAAGCAAGTGAGCATTACCGACTAAACTCCATTTCCATCACATCAACAGCAGTACTAGATTCTCATAGAGGCATGAACCCTAACACGAACTGTGCATGCAAGGGATCTAAGCTGCATGAGCCTTATGAGAACCTGCTGCCTGATAATCTGAGGTAGAACAATCTCATGCCAAAACCAGCAGCCCAACATCCATGGAAAAAGTGTCTTCCATGAAACTGGTCTCTGCTGCCAGAAAGGTTGGGGACCACTGTGCAAATTCACCATTCCTTGGCTATAAAGTTCCACTTCTCTCTACTGCAACTGGAATAGAGGCCAGACAGACACTGGGGTCTCTCTTCCCAGACAGGAAGAATCGTTAACAAAATTTGTTTTCACCACTGTAAATGTTTTTCAGGCTCTGGTTTCCTTTGAAGCTATGAAAATAATCAGAAAAGAAAAACTGTTAAATATATAAACGAAAAAAATCATATGATTATTCTTATCTGAAGGATTATAAAATGATACAGTTTCAAAAATTTCTGAATTACAAATTTAATACATACAACTTCAATTTTCAACTATATCGTGGTTAGATGTTAGGGGAATCACAAAGTTCCTCAACACGACAGAAAAGAAAACACACTTTTTAAAAGTTTTGGCTCAGCTGTTTAGAAAATTAGGAAAATCCTTAGAGGACAAAACTAAAAAATAACATGGATAAATAAAGTTCTAAAACTGATGATAATTTGAGTCAAACTTGAAAAGACAAAATTTGGAGCTTCCAGAGAAGATCATATTAAGGACTGTGATATACAACTGTGACAGTTCTGACCAACATTATCATTTTGTCTGTAAAACCGAAGGAGGTTAAAGAAACAGGTATTTAATACTTTACATATCTTGGTACTGCTTCCACAGGAAGAAAAGGAAAGATACTCCTTAGAGTTCTTATCTATCCACCATTTATACCCTATCAACACAAGAATTCATATTTATTGAAAATGCTAAGCTAAAATTTTTTATAGTCTTAGGAGAATCCTTGACATTTATCACAAACAATCTTACTATTCTGCAGCAGGACATTAAAATCTAGGCTTCTGAAAAAAGTCCCATATATAGGTTCAAAAAAACACTCATCGAAAACAAAAATGAAAAACACTAATAAAATCAAAGCCATAAAATATGGAAGGGGTTTTAAAATGAGTAAAACTTTGCTGTGAAAACATTAAGCTATAGATTGAAGAAAATACTATAACTAGATATTAAATATAAAATCAGTTTAAAAAAGAGAATAAAATGTAGGAAGAATAAAATGATTTTCAATATTAACTAGGAAAGCCTGAAAAATAATCAGAAATTCTAAAGATAAGAATGTACATTAAAAATCAAAAACTGAGTGGTTTAATAGTTTAGGTACTTTTTAAACACTGGTGCATTTTTAAATTGTTTTAAATAAGTTACTTAAAAGACAAAAAAAAAGAGTAAAAGACATGGAAGACAGGTTAAGAAACATGTAGAAGAGATTAGAAGACAGTTCCAGTGAACAGGACAAAGAAATGATAGATTGGAAAAGTTAATGACTATGAATTTTTCAGAACTGGCAAACTCAGAATTCTCAAGTCTGGGAATTCCTATCTACTCCCAGCATATTAAATAAAACGGTACCTTTTGCAAATCCAGAAAACTTGCAATACACTAAAACAAAGAGATGTTATAGCGGTCAAACAGAAAAAACAGAATACACTTACAAATTAATGTAGATTCAGAATTGACTTCTTAAAAGCCAAAACAGATTTTTAATGTGTCAAGAAAAAATAATTCTCAAACCACACTTGTATATATAGAAACAAATACCTTTATAAGAATAAAAGTAAAACACATATTTAACAAGTCAAAAATAATTCACAAATGTCTCTGTTGAAGAAATTTCTAAAGAATTTACTACAGAAAATAGGAAAATGGTTTCGAGAATGGTAAACAATGTAAAAAAAAAAGTGTTATGTGTGGATAAATCCACACTCAATCTGAAAACAAAAACAATATCCATTTTGTTGAGCAAAAAGCTTTAAAAATACGCATAAAATTTTTACACCTTAGAAGGGAACTGAAAAGAATAGTAACAACTTAATAGTCTAACATTACCTGGAAGAAAAAAAAATGAAATGTTGGCTTATATTTAAAACAAAGTATTAAAACTAGCATATACAAGTTGCTAACTAAGAACTGATTAAAATGAAAGACAGGTGAAAAAAAAATAAAATAGAAAAGGCACCAGAAACTAAGTTCAAAGTAAGAGAGCAAAAATGGATGCAATCCCCGTCACAATAAATGAAAACTATTCGGCACTGGATTAAAAAAACAATCAATGTTGCATTAGTTACAAGTTAAGCATTTAGAGCCTACGTATACAGAAAGATAAACTAGATCTAGGATCCAAAGGAAACTAGTAGGAATGGGACTAAGGGGCAGGATAGAGACCAATGTATTTATTTGTTTTATAAGTTACAAAATTAATAGCAGTATAAATCCATCATGAAAGAGGCAAACACAAATATTCTGCATAAACTCATGTATCTCTGTACATATATATGTATTAGATATGTATAAATGGCATATCCAATAATTTAGCAGACAGTATAAACTGATTCTCCTAAAGGTCTACAATTGGCATAATCTAATGAAAAGTGTTTGGCCTTAATAAACAACGAAACACAAAGTAATGCTCATGATAACATATACCTACAAAATTAGGTAGCGATATGAAGTGCTTTGGCAAACATATAGTTAATGTTTCAGTGTAACCTGAGAATCTATTTGTAAAACAATTCACAGTATCTTTCAATTCCATTTCTTAACATGCAACTTAAAAATTATTGCTTCTGGAGACCCATAAAGCAGTGTTCACGCACTGTCAGTAACAGCTAAACACCAGAAGCAACCCAACAAAAAGAATGATAAATGAGATGCAATCCCAGCATGCAATATTACATAAAGTGAAAAAACAGGTAATTTAAAGCTATGAGCAACAATACAAATAAATTTTCGTAACATAATAATGACAAAAAAAAAAAACAAGTCAGAGAATACACAAATAACATCAGCAAAGCTTGAAAATTAATATCCTTTTTAAAACTGCATACATATGTAATTAAACACTACACCTTTTTTATTTAATTATGACAAACTCATGACAGTCGGACATTTAGGGATTAGTGGAGAGAAAGCGGGAGCTATGACTTGTAGAAAAGCCTGTGGAGAGATACTATATTACAGAACCTCAGGCCCTATGCTCAAAAGTTAGTTCATGAATACTACTTAATACCATGCTTGATATTGACAAACTGGGTTATCTACGGTTTCAAAAATACCACAATTTTTTTTTGTTGTTTCAAAAAGGGAATTAGAAACAGACCAATATTACCAGTTGATGGTATAGGTGATTCCCTTTCCATTACTTCATTTATAGTTTCAATCTTCAGTAATTAACATACTTCTATTTTAAGAGCTATAAGTGAAATACTGCTGTAAGAAAGACTTTTAAGCACTATCATATTTAGCTGTACATCTCTTCACAAAAGGATATGTTCTGAGAAATACATCCTTAGGCAATTTTGCCTAATGTGAACATGACAGAGTATTACACAAACCAAGAAGAAACAATCTACTACACACCTGTGCTATATAGTATGTAACTATTGTTCCTAGATTACAAATTAGTGTGACATTATTATACTGAATATTGTAGGTCACATAACACAAGGTTAAGTATCTATGCCTATAAACGCAGACACACTGAAAGTACAGTATTGGTACTCTGCTGAACTGAAACTGTTATGCAGCATATGACTCAGTACATAATACCACTTACACAGATGCAAGTATTTCCATAAATAGTATATATACATAAAAATCAGGGTGAGCCTTATCAGAAACTTAGTCACAGCTGTTAGCTAAGTTTACCATTAAACCACTATTTTTTTCTGTTGGGATCAACTCTCTTATTAGACTTATCTACAATATTCAGTACAATAGCGCCAAATACTAATTCTTTTGGTTCTGGCCAACATGGTAAAACAGCAATTTTAATAGGATTGATTTCTCAAATGTCCAAATAATGCTTAAGGCTGGTCACATTTTAGCTTTCTCTCTCCAAATTAAGTTACTTCCAGTATTACCGTTTTTTTGGCTCTGGACCTTAGGACAAATTCAAACGTGATGAAAAAGATTCTAGGACATCTATATGGATTTTTTGACTAATATAAGAAATCACCTTGTAAAAAACACTGAAATTAGTGGTTTCTCTATGACTCCATGTGTTTGACATGTACACAAATTGGTAAACTTAACAAAGGCACTTCCTTCCACACTTCTACGTACTTCAAAATATGCTGGTTGGAGTACTTATTTTCTTTACTATAAAAAGGTAGTAATCTTCCAATATTTAGATTTGAGGAAAGGTGAAGGAACACTACAGCTCCTCACTGAAATGTCAAGATATATACTGTTCCTTTTGTCTATCCTCATCAGAATTTCAAGATAATAAATACGGTATGACTGGACAAATTCTGGTTTACTGCCAGATCATCCAGTACCATCAAACCTCATCTTTAGCCCTAACGTGTGAAAACAATACTGTGTGAGAGAATCTATGAGCACAGATAATTTTACATGCTAAAATGAGTATCCCCAGATATGATGTTAACATAAACTATACTACCTTCTCCTCAGGAGATAAGTTCTGTTTGCTATTGCTGACAGGAAAGCCACTGCCAAATTCTTTAGAATGAATGTCAGCTCCATATTCAACTGTCACTTCTTCCTCAATGCTGCTCACCAATCTCCAGAATTCCTTCTCCACGAGTTCTGTAGGCACCATCTGTGAAAACAAGTACAAAGGATCATTAACGCCTGCTATACTTTGAACCCATATCTCCATGAGAACTAAGACAACCACAACTTAATCCCTATGAGTCCAGCCCTCAGATCACATACATGTACAGGCATACTGAAGTAGTCAGCCTTGAAGGAATCAGCCATTTCACCAAAACTCTGCAGAGTGTACTCCTGGGTAGCCTGTTCAAATCCAAAAGCTTCAGGAGGCCGTTTAAACTCCTGGAATAAAATATATTTCAGCAAGACAAAGGAATAGAAGAAATCCAAAAATAGGAAAGCTAAAGAGAGATAAATTTTTCAGGTTACAGTCAGTATCTCATGCTATAATTCTGCATTTTCATATGTTTCCAGTTAGGAGTGTTTCTTTAGTATGTATTAAACTTATTTCCTAATCTTTACTCCACAGTCCATGCCATTTGAATTATGGTCCCTTGCCTCTGGCTCATTCAAGTCTCTATTAATCTACAGTTAGTGTTTTTAATCATTCATGCATATTACCAGCTATGCTCACTGATAGCGTAATCAAAATCTAACAAAAGGATTAACTTAAAAAAGGACAGAAACTACTTTCATAAAATCCAGAGGGGGAGATTATAGAAAAGCACCAAGAACCAAAAAAAAAACATCAGTGACAGACAGGTCTTACTGCCAAGATACACTTTGGGCACCTCCAGATGCCTCTGGGGATTTCAGGAAGGGGAGGCAACAAGCAGAAGATGTGGTAATAGTCACCACAGCCATCACAGAAAAGCAGCTTATCATCTTCATCCCCACGGGAACATATTTGGCAAGCATAACAGTCAACCTACCAAAAAAAAAAAAAAAAAAAAAAAGAAAAAAAAAAAAAAAAAAAAAAAGCCTTATATTTGATACCTTATGCCAGGTTTCTAGACCATTCATGAACACCTACCATTAGTCAGTACCTACACAGTGTTGTATTTATGAGTTTATGAGTTTACTGTGCAGTACAAACTATGGCAGGAAATAATTATAGTATAATACAACAAATTAATGAGGAAACCATCAGGGCAATAAATCAAGACATTTTACAGAGGTTCAGTAGCATAAAAAAATCATAAACATACAGTTAAAAATTTAACTGGCACAAAGGGCAAGCTGAACATAAAAAGGCCAAGTGAATAAATATCCAGTTTTATTTCTCCCGCAAAAGTTCTGGTAGATGTCTACTTCATTCTAAACAGTAGCTTCAGTTGGGTGATGAATTAAATAGTCACTCAAGTAATATGTCACAGAACAGAAACACGAAGCAAAGACTAAATAACTTGATTCTCTGGTACCACTGAAAAAAATCTAGTAATAATTACCAGTTTAAAGGGAAAATGCAGTGATAAAATTTTTAGCAGGGTAGAATCTCATTTTGAAAAAATTAGCTTCAACAAGTAGGATGAGCTTTTCTACAAGAATCCAGAAGTAAACTGATCAGTAAAGAGAAAATAAAGATAACTCAAGAGCAGAAAACAAGTGAAAGTACACTTCTGCATATATACACACACATAAACATACACACACAGGTTATGTATGTGTATAAATACATGTGCATGCATATATACATATGCATATGTATGCATATACACACATGTACCATCATACAAAACAGAGTATTTATAAATGTAACAAAATTCAATAGAATTATAAGAAAAAGATTTCATAAAATAAAAAACTTTAAACTTATGAAAGATGGTCAATTAAAAAAAATTATAAACCAGGGAAATGCAAATAAAAATTACAATGAAATATAACTATACATCTTCCAGAATAGCTAAAATGAAAACAAAGTTGTCAATCCTAAGTGTTAGTGAGGATAAGTGGTAACCAGAACTGGCATCCAATACTCATTGATAAATTGGTCAACCATTTTTAAAAGTAGTATGACAATAATCCAATACTGAAAATATACATAGTCTCAGTCACAGCAATCCAATCCTGTCTATCTATGTAACAGAAACGTATACATATGTTACCTAGAGATATACACTTTAATCTTCATAGAATTATTTGTAACAGCAAAAAATTGTTAATTATCAAAAACACAATGGTAAACGTAGAAAAAAATGTTGTGCTTAACAAAATTACACTTAATAGAACACAATACAACCGTGAGTATTAACACACCCATATAAATAAATTTTTCGAACAAAGCTCTAGGCAAAGAAGCCAATACAAAAAGGCTGATTACTTAAAGTACAAAAACACGTAAACTAATCCAGATATTTTTGTGTATTCATTATACACTGAAATATAAACAAAAGCAGTAAAAGCAGGTAAACAACCAGCTGTAAGGGTGAGAAAGTAGTTGTCAATGACTCCCAGACTTTGAGCTTGATGACTGGTCTAACATGTCCATAAAACGAAAAACAGTGAGACAAGTGGGAAGGGGATTGTGGTGATAAAGATGATCTTTCAATAATCAGGTGGAAACAACTAAGAGAAACACATGAATTTGCAGCTCAAAGCAAAAGTCTGAAAACAAAATTTCTGGAAAGATCAACATTTATAGAACGAGGAAGGGCAAACAAAATTATCAAAACAGCTTGATATGAGCTAAAGAGTAAGAAGAAAGATAAGATTTTTTTTTTCTTTTTCTTGTTGGGCAGACTTGAATTAAGACATTTATAAAAATCTTCCAGATGAGAAGTAGAAAGAAGGGTAAAACAGGATGTATGTACACAAAGGACAAAAGTAAAACAAGAAAATAGGTAAGTCACTACTATATGAAATGTGATGCTTTGAGGGTCTGAAGGAGTTTTTCAAAAACAAATAGCTCTTTTACATCATTTATATTGGATCAGATTATCTCCTATATTAAGCTGTAAAGCTTCTAAAAAATGCTTAGAGTTTAAAAACAGTATAGTTTGGTGAAAAGTTCTGATCTAAAAAGACAAATTTTGCTCTTAAGCTTAGTATCTCGAATAAGTTTCTTTTCTTCTCTAGCCACCAATCTCCTTAAATAAAAAGGCTCATAAACAAGCAGTAGGAAGGGAAGAAAAAGAAAAAGTAAAGTATAATGAAATAATTTAAGGTTCAATCTCATCTTGGCAGTTCACAGCACAGTATTACAAATTCATGGGTCCTTACAAACTGGGCATTGCTGTGATTCTTTCGTAGCTGCATGGTCATCTTAATGCAGGAGTCTAGGTTCAAGTGCGGCCTCAGCTGTGTTGATGACACTTTCCCATCTCCACTTTGTTTGTCCTTTACCGTAACTGTTGTGGGGCACGTAACTAAAGAAGTGAAAAACAACTCTGAGAAAAATGTTCTCCTGCATCAGAATTAATAAACTATTTCTCCCATGATACTTTACTATTTTACCCCTCACACTACACTAACATGTTAAATTCCTCACCTTTCTTACTCACAGTCTTATCCTTATCCTTAGCCATGAGGCCTAAGCCCATCATTTTGGGACCTGGACCATAGATCTGTAGTTTCTTTAGCTCTGGATTCTTCTCAATGTCCTCCTCTGTAGGCTCTGGCTGTTTAAAGAAGATTCAAACAATGAAGTGAGCTTTACATATGCAGACATAAATACTTTATAGGCAAGATCTAGACAAGTCACATGGGCTAAAATCAATTAACAGCCTTTACCCATTTTTGAATGTTTATTAATCACATTTTCACCTGTTAGTATGGTATGGGCAGGTAGGAGCAAATGAATAAATAAATTTGGAAAGTAATGAATTTTCTCAATTTTTTCCGTGCAATGAATAAAATGATAAAATACTCCTGAGTTTATAAGGCTTGTAAACTATAAGTATCGAAATCTGTATCTCCTAGTATTTTAAAATTTTATAATTATAAATAAGCCTCTCTCTTCAACTGAATTTGGGATGGAAAGAGTAAGACAGAAAAAATTCTATTCCATTTGAACTCATTATCATTAGAACCATAGCTGCTTTCTGACCACAATGTAATCACATACCTGGGAAAATGGAAACCCATTAAATATCAAAATACATAGCATACATCCTATATATTATATATCATTTTTAGCACTTATCTCTTCTTAGAGAACATTGTAAACATATTTTATCAATGTTTGAAATAATTTGTTCTATCTCAAAATTAAGCTCTATTACATTTTCTTTTCCACTTATTTTAAAGCTTTATTCTTACAGATTTTCTTCTATACACATAAACATACACACAGAGAGACAAAATAATGTATTTTTAAGGTTTTCTTTTACTCCCACGGCTTATCACAACATTTTTCCAGAAATCATTAAATCATTAAAGTAATCATTAAATTACTTTTTAATTAGACAGCATTGAGGCTGTTTCCAGCTTATCACAACATTTTTCCAGAAATCATTAAATCATTAAAGTAATCATTAAATTACTTTTTAATTAGACAGCATTGAAGCTGTTTCCAGCTTTTTGACATTCTGAAGAGTAAAGTAACTATTAATCTAATTTGTATTTCATATACTGTATATTGTTTTGACATTTCTGGGGTAACTTGTTGGCTAGGAAGACCAGCCCTTTCAGAGCTGGCTAAAGTCTATCTTTACTATAAAAACCAATCAATCCCAAGTCAGAATCTCTAGTTATTCATTTTATTTAGCTATCATATACAGCCAGTATGTTCCCTGCTCTAAATCAACTCAGAGCCATGTACCAGAAACCTAACAGCATCCACTATGTTCCACAGTGCACTGAAATTATCCCAACAAACTAGCCAATTATAAAATATTTACATCATCCTGCCTTGCTTGTCTTACAGAAATACCAAGAAAGGCTGTGATTTGTACCTTTCTCCTTACATTTCAGCTCATGATTGACTTCTGTGCCCCTGTGTGGTACACTGTATATCCATTCGGAAGAAAACAGCAATGGAAATTTTTAGCACTGACCTCTCCATCTCATCATTACTGAATCATCTCTATAATTAAAACTTGGGCACAAATCATTAGCACCCATCTACTCACTGCATTATCGTTCTCAAATAATAATAGAAGTTAAACAGAATATTATATAACTATGAGGTACATAGTATCGTTATGCACATTACATAATACATGAAATATGTACATTTAATGTTATAGATTATATAACATTAATTTTACATTTACATTTCATAGTATTTGTAATAGCTGAAAACTAATTTTAATTTAAAATCAGTTAACCTAATTATAAGTTGATTAGTTTTGATTTTTACATTAGTGTTATATAATAATTCCTAGCAATTAAACACTTTTTAAAAGAGCTAACATTTCCTTGTTTTAAAATAAACTAATACTAAATGAATGCAGTGGCTCACACCTGCAATCCTAGCACTGTGGGAGGCTGAGGAAGGTGGATTGCCTGAAGTCAGGAGTTCAAGACCAACCAGGGAATCATGATGAAACCCCAACTCTACTAAAACACAAAAAATTAGCTCAGCATGCTGATGGGCGCCTGTAGTCCTGGCTACTTGGAAGGCTGAGGCAGGAAAATTGCTTAACGCCAGGAGGTAGAAGTTACAGTGAGCTGAGGTAGATCGAGCCATTGCACTCCACCCTGGGGAATACAGTGAGACTGTCTCCATAAAACGAAAATAAAATTAAAAAATAAAGAAAGTAATACTGTGCTACTTTACATTTTGGACAGCCTAGTTACTGCCTATTCTTGAATTACAAACACTTGGACAGTCTACTTACTCCCTGTTCTTGAATTATAAGCACTTAGACAAAATAGAAAAGACATGTTAGTTCTCATGTCTCCTTTCTTGCTTTATGCAGAATTTATAATTTTTTTCTTTATATTTTGGAAGTACTATCAGTTTTTGTAAACCATACAGTTTTCAACTTTTTGTCTTTTTTGTTTTTTCTGAGATACAGTCTCCCTCAGTCACTCAGGGTAGAACACAATGGCATAATTTTGGCTCACTGAAACCTCTGTCTTCCAGGCTCTGGTTATTGTCATATCTCAGCATTCTGGGTAGCTGCAATTACAGGTGCCTGTCACCAGGCTTCTTTACTAAAGATGGGGTTTCACCATGTTGGCCAAGCTGGTCTCAAACACCAAACCTCAGGTGACCACCCAGCTTTAGCCTCCCAAAATTCTGGGACTATGGGCATGAGCAACTATGCCTGGCCCAAGAATTCTTAAAACCATTCCTGCAAAGCAGACAATCAACTTCCCCTGCCAAAAAAGTATCTAAGGATCCATTTTATCTAGAAAAAGTTTTAGACCATTTGCTAGTATTTACAACCTGAAACAAATTTTATCAGTTTCACAGTTATTAGATGCTCATTTTTCTTATTCAGTTCTTTCTAGACATAGTTCTTACCATAAAAACTAAAGTACTAATACAGAATGCATCTGTATTTCAACGATCTTAACTAGATAAAATTTCTAACTTTGGTGTAATCTCTAACGTTACAATATGTCAAAATTTAAATATTGTTAGAATTATCCAGAAAACACTTAATTATACATAACACTGTCTTAATTTAAGATATTTCCGCAATAAAAACATCTGAATGTTATGAAAACGTTGTATGTAGAGCACTGAAAACAGCCTTACCTAGAACAAGTTACTAAAAATATGTTAACATTTTCTATATATTATGATATTTTAGTATTTTAAATCTTTCTGGCTAAGATTGCCTTCCCAAGGTTAGCTACTCCTAGAAATACCAAATGGCTCACCCCAAAGCATGTCTTTAATATGCCTTTAACATCTTTACAGACAAATCCAAACCTAATCCCTCTCTATTCAACCCAACCAATTCAGGAGGCAATGTTCCTCTGCCTGAATTGAAAGTCAGGCAACTAGGGAATACTGCTATAGGCTGGGGCTTGCCAAAATTATTCAAACTAGCTAACCCTAAACTGCTTATTCTGCTCTGCCCTGCCTTTCCCTTGGGAACCCCAATAAAGGATATGGCCAGGTTCTTTCCTCGTTCTTGCTCCTTCTGCATGTCCAAGATGGGATTTCCCCTGTAGCACGATGTAATATATAGTGACTACTTAAGACCTGTGACGACAATAAACTTTGCATTCCTGAATCTCTCTGTAGTCACACCTTACTAACCATCACATGGAACACCACAGAAGAAAACCAACAGTTACTAAATCCAACTTGTACAATGTGCTTTGCAAAAATCATTCCAAGATTCACAAAAATTAACAAACCTTATAACTAGGCATAGTAGCTCATGCCTATAATCCCAACTAGTCCAAAGGCTAAGGAGGGAGAATCACTTAAGCCTAGGAGATGGAGAAAGCCTGGCAACATAGCAAGACCCCATAACATAGAAAGAACATTAATACATTTGCTTTCAAAATGTATGCAAACAAAACTACAAACACAAAGTACTATAAACATATCTATGAAAACATAACCCATTATAATTAATCTTATCTTGAACAACCATATGTCAAATAATGCTTTTGGTAATGAATTTTCCCCCATATCAAAGTCCAGACAAACCTCCTCAGCTATAGAAATAAAAAGTCACTCACGTCAGGCTGTAGCCTTTTTGCCCGTCGACTGCAGCTGCTGAACTTTGAAGGTTGCACAGACTGTCTAAAGGGGATGCTGTGGGGCTTATATTCCTTATCTTTTACCTCGCTGTCAAACGGGTGTGTGTTACACTGCTACAGAGAAAAAAAAAAATGTAGAATCAGAAATTGAGTCATATTTGTGATTAGTGATTCCTTCAAGTAAAACTCTAGCAAATAAAGCTGTAGTTCTTTCTAAAGTACACAGGTCCACTCCTCTTGTTCTTTGAGTGATAGAACACATATCCTAAAAATGCCCGTGCCTCTGCTTGCATGAATGAGCAGCAGGGAATACGAAGGAAGACTGTCTTCGAACTGTCTTGATAGCAATTTGGGTTTTTACTCTTATTCTTTGTCTGATTTCGGTAAATACTGAACCTTTCTCTTTGTGCTTCAATTTCCTGGCTGATAAATGAGTAATGAAAATACCAAATTTAGCAATTATGTACACTAAGTGAAGTGTGTTTTTAAACATATACACACAGCTTTTATACAATATTTACAAGTTTTATGAACAATAAAATCTAAAATTGACCAGGCACGGTGGCTCTTGCCTTTAATCCCAGCATTCTGAAAGGCCAAAGTGGGCAGATCATGAGGTCACAAGATTGAGACCATCCTGGCCAACACAGTGAAATGCCACTACTAAAAATACAAAAATTAGCTGGGCATAGTTGCGTGTGCCTGTAACCCCAGCCACTCGAGAGGCTGAGACAGGAGAATCACTTGAACCTGGAAAGCAGAAGTTACAGTGAGCTGAGATCACACTCTAGCCTGGTGACAGAGTGTGCACCTGTTTCCAAAAAAAAAAAACAAAACAACCTACTAACTTATTATTTAAAAATACACTGTTATCACTCCTTGAGTTAAACCCAAGTAGTACGAAGCTTTTTTTTCCTAAACTATCTTTAAGTGAACCAGCCTCAGAAAAGCTTAATAACTTCATTAAGATAATTAGCTTTATCATGTAAGATATTTAAAATAGGAAATGTTTTCCCATAGCTTCTAATTTAAGATCTTCTCCATAATAAAATCTTAGTAAACATCAACCTGCTGAGATAGAAAGATCACGACAGTTTTTCTTCTAACTATAACAGGTATAAAACCTTGCCATACAGAGGCTGCATAACAGTATCAATTCCTGGAGTATCTTCACTCTAGAAATTTATAGTCTCTAGATTGTAATCTCTAGAACCCAACTACTCAGGAGAAAAGTCCAATACAAAGAGAAAATACAAAAGAAAACACAATCACATCAGGCCACAAACCAGTTTAAATATCCTCACCACATGGTTGGCACCAGACTGAAACATTTCATAGGGGTAAATGATTCGTTCATAATGCAATCGTAGCAGGGAGCCAATGTTTTTGCCTGGTGGGTAGTGGAGACGCTGGGCAACTCGGGCCCATCGACGTTCCTTGCAGATGGCTTCATAGCCACCTTCCTCCATCACAATCTGAAAGTATAAGAAAAGATATGGGATTCTTGCCCTTGAGAGTGAACGAGCCTCCCTGCTTCTGATTTTGAAACACCTGGATCTGGGCTTCCCAGGAGAGTGGTGGGAACCTCCGTACCATTTTACAATCCCACCAGCAGAGCACAGGGGTTACAATTTCTTCACATAGGAGGGAGAATTGGAGAGACAGTCAAAATGGCTGAATAGCAACACCTCTGGAGTGCAGTTCCCATTGAGAACAACACAGAGGGTGGGTGACCGCCGCATTTCCAAAAGAGTTTTTACTGCCCACAGACCAGAAGACTCCCAGCTAAAAGCACCACAAGTTTCCAGAACAGCTGTTTCAGCCAGTGCCATGGGTTTCTGCACAAAAATTCACACAAATCTGGGCGGTCGTTTCAACTAGCACCTGGAACACCTGGGAGACAGAGCCACTCATTGAACTGAAAAAGAGGTGTCTGAAACAGGGAGCCAGGTGATCTGGTTCAGCAGATCGTACCCCTACAAAGACCAGCAATCTTAAGTACTCTGCATTGAAACTTTCGCAGCAAGTACAGTTGGACCTGGGACAGCCCAGGTTGGTGGGGGAAAGGCATCCACCATTACTGAGGCAATACACCACTACCAAGGCATGCCAGCATTACTGAGGCAATCCACCATTACTGAGGCAGACCACCTTTACAGAGGCAATTCTAAGAGTACCTCTATAAACAAAACTGCAAGAAGTTTACACAGAGCGTAGGCACAGTCCGCAGCAGCTCAGCAACGCCTCTGCTGGTAGACTGTGACTAGACTACCTCCTTGCTGGCCAGGGCATCTCTAAGAAAAGGCAACAGCACATCAGGAACTTAAAAATCTCCACCTTCCGAAGACAGAGCACCTGGGAAAAGAGGCAGTTATGAATTCTGCTGAAGCAGACGTAAATGTACCTGCCCAACAGCTCTGAACAGAACAATGGAGTAAACAGCACAGCACTTGAGCTACTGTAAGGGAAAGCCTGTCTCCTCAAAAAGCTCCCTATTCCCTTATATCCAAAGAGACACCTCATAAAGGACAGCTCAGGCTGACATCTGGCAGGTACCCATTTGGGACGAAGGTAACAGAAGAAACCGGTAGCAACCCTTACTGTTCTACAGCCGCCGCAGGTGAACTGCAGGTAAGCAGGATCTGGAGTGAACCTCTAGCCGTCCTACAGCAGAGGAGCCTGACTTAGAAAGAAAATTAAAACACAGAAAGAAATAGCTTCAACATCAATGTAAAGGATGTCCACTCATAGACTCCATCTGAAAGCCGCCAACTACAAAGACCATGAGTGGATAAATCCACAAAAATGGGAAAAAACCAGTGCAAAAAGGATGAAAACATCAAAAACCAAGGCCTCTCCTCCTTCAAAGTATCACAACTCCTCACCAGCAAGAGAATAAAGCTGGATGGAGAATGAGTCTAATGAATCACAGAAGCATACTTCAGAAGGTGGGTAATAAGAAACTTCTCTGAGCTAAAAGAATATGCTCTAACCCAATGTACAGAAACTAAGAACCTTGAAAAAATGTTAGATGAAATGTTAACTAGAATAACCAGCTTAGAAAAGAACATAAACAACTTCATGGAGATGAAAAACAACACAGCACAAGAAGTTTGCAAAGCATACATAAGTTTCAATAGCAGAATCGACAGAAGATCAACTCAAAAGGAGAAGGCAAGAATAAAGAAAACAAAGTGAAAAGCAATAAAGAAATCCTCCAAGAAATATGGGATTATGTAAAAAGACCTAATCTACACTTGACTGGTATACCTAAACGTGACTGAAACAATGAATTCAAGCTGCAAAACACTTGGCAAGATATTATCCAGGAGAATTTCCCAAACCTATCAAGGCAGGACAGCATTCAAGACCAGGAAATTCAGAGACCACCAAAAAGACATTCCGCAAGAGCAACTCCAAGGCATATAATTGTCAGATTTACTAGGGTTGAAACGATGCTAACGGCAGCCAGACAGAATGGTCGGGTTACCCACAAAGGGAAAGCCATAAGACTCACAGCGGATCTCTCAGCAGAAATCCTACAAGCCAGCAGAGACTGGAAGCCAATATTCAACATCCTTCAAGAAAACAACTTTCAACCTAGAATTGCATATACAGCTAAACTAAGCTTCATAAGCGAAGGAGAAATAAAATCCTTTATAGGTAAGCAATCACTAAGTGATTTTGTCACCACCAGGAGCGCTTTACAGGAGCTCCTGAAAGAGGCACTAAACATGGAAAGGAACAACCACTACCAGCCACTACAAAAACGTACCACAAAGCAAAGACCATTGACACAATGAAGAAACTGCATCAGCTAATGGGCAAAACAACCAGCTAACATCAAAATGGCAGGATCAAATTGACATATAACAATATTAACCTTAAATGTAAACGGGCTAAATGCCCCAATCAAAAGACACAGACTGGAAAACTGGATAAAGAGTCAAGACCCATTGGTGTGCTGTATCAGGAAACCCATCACACGTGCAAGGACACATAAAGGCTCAAAATAAAGGGATGGAATAAGATTTACTAAGGTAATGGAGACCAAAAAAAAGCAGGAGTTGAAATCCTAGTCTGTGATAAAATGGACTTTAAGCCAGCAAAGATCAAAAGAGACAAGGGCACTGCATAATGTGGATCAATGCACTGGAAGAGCTAACGATCCTAAACATATATGTACCCAATACAGGAGTAACCAGATACATAAAGCAAGATCATAACAACCTAATAAGAGACTTAGACTGCCACACAATAATAGTGAGAGACTTTAACACTCCACTGTCAACATTAGACAGATTAACGAGACAAAAAATTAACAAGGATATCCAAGACTTGAACTCAGATCTGGACCAAGCAAACCTAATAGACATATACAGAACTCTCCACACCAAATCCAAAGACTATACATTCTTCTCAGCACCATGTCGCACCTAAACTAAAATTGACCACATAATTGGAAATATAGACATATACGGAACTCTCCACACCAAATCCAAAGACTATACATTCTTCTCAGCACCACATCGCACTTAAACTAAAATTGACCACATAATTGGAAATAAATCACTCTTCAGCAAATGCAAAAGAACAGAAATCATAACAGTCTCTCAGAGAACAGTGCAATCAAATTAGAACTCAGTATTAAGAAACTAACTCAGAACCACACAACTTTATGGAAACAGAACATCTGGCTCCTGAATGTTGACTGGATAAACAACGAAATGAGGGCAGAAAATAAGATGTTCTTTGAAATCAATGAGAATGAAGGCACAACATACCAGAATCTCTGGGAAATATTTAAAGTAGCATCTAGAGGGAAATTTGTAGCAATAAATGCCCACATGAGAAGCAAGAAAGATCTAAAATCAACAACCTATCACCAAAATTGAAAGAGATAGAGGAGCAAAATCAAAAAAACTCAAAAGCTAGCAGGCAACAAGAAGTAACTAATATCAAAGCAGAAATGAAGGAGACAGAGACACAAACAACCTTTTGACAAAAAAAAAAAAAAATCAATAAATCCAGGAGCTGGTTTTTTGAAAAGATCAACAAAACAGACCGCTAGCCAGATTAATAGAAAAGAGAAGAATCAAACAGATGCATAAAAAATGATAAATGATATATTACCACTGATCTCACAGAAATACAAACTACTATCAGATATATTACCACTGATCTCACAGAAATACAAACTACCATCAGAGATTACTACAAACAACTCTATTCACATAAGCCAGTAAACCTGTAAGAAATGGATAAATTCCTGGACACTTGCACCCTCCCAAGCCTAAACCAGGAAGAAGTAAAAACTCTCAACAGACCAAAAACAAGGTCTGAAGTTGAGGCAGCAATTAATAGCCTACCAACCAAAAAAATTCCAGGTCCAGATGGGTTCACAGCCAAACTGTACCAGATGCACACAGAGGACATGTGTACTACGCCTTCTGAAACTATTGCAAACAATATGAAAAGATGGAATCCTTCCCAAATCATTTATGAGACCAACATCATCCTGATACCAAAACCCAGCAGAGGTGCAACAAAAAAAGAAAACTTCAGGTCAATAACATGATGAACACAGATGAAAAAATCCTCAATAAAATACTGGCAAACCAATTGCAACAGCACATCAAAAAGCGTATCCATCATGATTAAGTAGGCTTCATCCCGGGGATGCATGGCTGCTTTGACATATGCAAGTCTAAAAACATAATCCACCACATAAACAGAACCAAAGACAAAAACTACATTTATCTCAATAGATGCAGAGAGGGCCTTTGACAAAATTCAACAGCCATTTATGCTAAAAACTGTCGGTAAACTAGGTATTGACGTATCTTAAAATAATAAAAGCTACTTATGACAAACCCACAGCCAATATCATACTGAATGGGCAAAAACTGGAAGCATTCCCTTTGAAATCTGGCACTAGACAAGGATGCCCTCTCTCACCACTCCTATTCAATATAGTATTGGAAGTTCTTGCCAGAGCAATCAGGGAAGAAAAAGAAATAAAGGGTATTCGATTAGGAAAAGAGGAAGTCAAATTGTCTGTGTTGCAGATGACATGATTGTATATTTAGAAGAGCCCACTGTCTCAGCCCAAAATCTTCTAAAACTAGTAAGAAACTTCAGCAAAGTCTCAGGATACAAAATCAATGTGCAGAAATCACAAGCATTCCTATACAGATATTACAGACTTACAGAGAACCAAATCAAGAGGGAACTCCCATTCACAATTGTTACAAAGAGAATAAAATACCTAGAAATACAACTAGCAAAGGATGTAAAGGACCTCTTCAAGGAGAACTACAAACCACTGCTCCACAAAATAAGAGAGGACACAAACAGATGGAAAATCATTACATCCTTACGGTTAGGAAGAATTAATATTGTGAAAATGGCCATATTGCCCAAAGTAATTTACAGATTCAATGCTATCGCCATCATGCTACCAATGAACTCCTTGACAAAACTGGAAATAACCACCTTAAACTGCATAGAGAACCATAAGAGAGCCCGCATAGGCACGGCAATTCTAAGCAAAAAGAACAAAGCCAGTGGCATCATGCTACCTGAATTCAAACTATACTATTAAGTAATCAGAGCAGAATAGTACTGGTACCAAAACAGAGATATAGACCAATGGAACAGAACAGAGGCCTTGGAGTATCTGCCAGATATCTACAATCTGATCTTTGACAAACCTTACAAAAGCAAACAATGGGTAAACTATTTTCTGTTTAATAAATGGTGTTGGGAAAACTGGCTAGACACGTGCAGAAAGCATAAACTGGACCCTTTCCTGACACCTTACACTAAAATTAATTCCAGATGGATTAAAGACTTAAACATTAATACCTTAATACCATAAAAACCCTAGATGAAAACCTAGGCAAAAGCATTCAGGACATAGGCACAGGTAAGAACTTCATGATTAAAACACAAAAACGGCAACGAAAAGACAAAATAGAAAAATGGGATCTATTAAACTCTGGAGCTCCTGTACAGCAAAAGAAACAATCATAAGAGAGAACCAGCAATCAACAGAATGGGAAAAAATTTTTGCAATCTACCCATCTGCCAAGAGCTAATATACAGAATCTAAAAAGAACTAAAACAGATTTGTAAGAAAAAAAATTTTTTTTAAATCCATTACAAAGTTGGCAAAGGATATGGACACTATACAAAAGGAAGACAAGGAAGACATACATGAGGCCAACAAACATGAAAAAATGCTCATCATCACTACTCATTAGAGAAATGAAAATAAAAACCACACTGAGATAATCATCTCACGCCAGTTAGAATGGCAATCATTAAAAGGTCTGGAGACAACAGATGCTGGAGAGGATGTGGAGAAATAGGAACACTTTTACACTGTTGGTAGGGGTGTAAATTAGCTCAACCATTGTAGAATACAGTGTGGTGTCTCCTCAAAGACCTGGAAATAGTAATTCCATTTGACTCAGCAATCCCATTCCTCGGTATATACACAAAGGATTGTAAATCGTTCTATTCTAAAGACATATGCACACATATGCTCATTGTGGCACTGTTTACAACAGCGAAGACCTGGAACCAAAAACCAAATGCCCATTGATGACTGAACAAGGAAAATGTGGCACATGTACATCATGATATACTAGGCAGCCAGAAAAATGATGAGTTCACTCATGTTCTTTGCAGGGACATGGATGAATCTGGAAACCATCATTGTCAGCAAACTGACACAAGAAGAGAAAATCAAACACCGCATGTTCTCACTCATAGGTGGGTACTGAACAATGAGAACACATGGACACAGGGAGGCGAGCATCATACAATGGGATCTTTTGGCAGGTCTAGGGGAGGGAAAACAGGAGGGTGGGGAGGCTTAGGAGAGATAACATGGGGAGAGATGCCACATATAGGTGACGGGAGGATGGAGGCAGCAAACTACATTGCCATATATGTACCTATGCAACAATCCTGCATGATCTGCACATGTACCCAGAGCCTAAAGTACAATGAACAAAGTTATATACTATGGAAATAAAATAAATAATAAAAGAAGAATATATAACGGTAAAAAAAGAAAGGAAAAGAGAAAAGCTGTGGAAGAACTGTGAACACACTGGAAAGGACTAAAAACAGCAATGAGGATTAAATCTGGGGTGCCAACATCAGTCATTTCAAGATTCAAAGATTATGTCAAGAAATGCTGCTAGGCTCAGTGTTCTTTCCTTTCCTGCCTGGAAACATTATTTTCTACCACAGAAATCCCTTGAGCCATGGATTTTTATTTTTCTGCTAAAAAGTAGACTATCTTACCTTACTAAGGCTGTAGAGGTCCAAGATCCTCCGTTCTACATTGGGAATCTTTAAGGAAGAGCCTTGAATTTCCCAGAATTTTGCAATCTGATCCAAATAGTTCAATTTCACTCTAGTTTGAGCCTAGGAAAGAGAAAGCCTTATAGGACTGGCATACTCCTTAAACTGACTTTGTCCAGCGTGAAGTAAATAAACAAGTATTATTCTATGCTATCTACACTTCTCTACTAATGTGCTGGAGTCCCAACTTCACTGTCTATCTCAGCAGTGGCAACCAGAAAAAGCTCAAATAAGCGGAGTCTTTAAGAGGGGCTAAGAATGAGCTTTCTTAAAATCAAAATCATATCTAAATTTAAAGAATTCTTTGACTTAAAAAGTGCCTTAACTGAAACTATTTAGACTCCAAGAGTACTGAGACTCAGTATCACCTACTTAGAATGTAGTGAGATACACTTTAAATAATTAAAATATTCTTCTAGTCCATGTCAAAAATTTGGAAATGAAATCAGTTTCTGAATCATTGCTTTCTTATCCTAACTCATATGCAGCTCCTAGCTACTGATCACAGTCAAAATCCTAATAATAAAAAAAAATGACAAATCATGCATACAATTCCTATGCTGTAAAGACTGAATTGTTTTAAAAAGCCAGCTTTGCCACTGATATTATATTAAAGGAGAACATATGAAAGACTATCAGCCTTTTGCTAGATATTCAAAAGTTCCTATTTTTTCTCTAAACTCTGCTTCTGTTAACCAATCAGAAAAATTCAATCAGGCCAGTACAGTGATTCACGCCTGTAATCTCAGCACTTTAGGAGGCCAATGCAGCCAGATAACCTAAAGTCAGGAGTTAAAAACTAGCCTGACCAATATGGTGAAACTCCATTTCTACTAAAAATACAAAAGTTAGCTGGCCTGGTGGTGTGCACTTGTAATACCAGCTACTTGGGAGGCTGAGGCAGGAGAATCCCTTGAACCCAGCAGTTAGAGGTTGCAGTGAGCTGAACTGCACCACTGCATTCCAGCCTGGGAAACAGGATGAGATGTCTCAAAAAAAAAAAAAAAGTTAAAGAAAAAAGAAAGAAATAAAGAAAAAAGAAAGAAAAGTAAAGATCAGTCATTAAATAGGTAGATATGAGAAAACCAAATGGGAAAGGTACGGTCATTTTGATAGTCTTAACTTGAATCTATTGAACAGCAAAAGAATGCATCATTCATCCTCAGAATTTAAACCCTTCTTTATGTTCTGACATTTTTGTGAATAATAATTATACATTTTATAAAAGACTATCTCCAAGATCAACATTCTGGAAAATGGTGAAGCTCAGATTTAAATTTAATACATTCAATTACAAAATCTAGGCTCCACATTGTTAAGAAAATACAAAGCCATGATTAGAGATCAGATACCTTTAATAGAAGTATGGCTCCCAATCTTACCTCCAGTTCATTTAGTCTTTGGATGCGAGGAGTAAATCTGAAATTGTCAACTTCTACTGCAAAGGGAGGCTGCCAGTCCTAGAAGAAAGCATAAGAACCTGGAAATTAATGGTAAAGTAAAAGAAAAAGATGGTGAAAACCACAATCATTTGTTTCCACCCTTCTAAAGTCTTCTGGTAACCATTTTTGTACACAAGGGTCCCAAATGATTTCTTCTTGAAAATCAAGATTAACTGAATAAAAAAGAAGAAAAGACAAAATCCTGCAAATCCAAAACTCACCTTGATATGTCTCATTCATAACAGGCTAAAAAATAAAACAAAATAAAAGCCACTACAATCTCAAGCCTAGAAAGCAACTTCAAAAGTTAATGCACATCTGAACAAACACTACGCTATTTGCGTAGTGTTTATACTAAAGATAAACGTAAAACAGAATAAAAAAAAATTGTTTCATTTTTTTCGAACCTATGCCATTCTCTCTTCCTACTCCCAGTAGTAAGAAAACAGCACAACAAACAAAAGTTTAACTGCGAATGCTGACAAGTGTGACCATCCAAATAAAAATAATGTTGCAGCCTGGTTCAATATATGAGAAAAAAAGCTGTATACTCTGCGAAAACTTTTTGATTTATATAAATATTCTGCTAGTTGTTTACAACGACAAGGATGCACGACATTTCAGTGTGCATCCTTAATTCAGTCAAACTTCTACGAGGTCCGTTTAGTAGTTTTGAGTGTAGCAAACCAAGATGGTCTAACTTTTAATAATACAAACTTAACTGGTGGCAAAGGATGCCACATCACTCCCATTCTTTGCTATTTGTTACATACATACCAAGTTATATTAAGGAATGAACAAACCAGTCCACGTGGTGAACACAAGTTTATTTAACTTGGTTCTATGATAGATCAAGTACTTCTGGGTAATTTTTTTGCAGTTAAGAGTAAGTTTGTGTATGCCTGAAGTATATTTAAGTTTAATAACGGCAGAACGTAAAAATGTTTGAAGTGTATATTTTTGTTCCTAAAGATGTCAGATCTTTAGAATCCTGCAGAATGTGGTGATCAGATGCAAATATTCTGATACCAGCTTGTTCTAGCAATTAAGTTAAATGAGGAATAGGGCGGCTAAATCTGTTCATAAATGTAAAGCCTCTTCAAGTGGTAAACTGCCACAACCTTCAAACAGAAGGCGACCCACTCCAAGTTTTGTTTAAAAGACTTACTGCGGGTGGGCGGATTTTGCAGATGCCAGACTTCTCGGCTATGGGCCTGATTTTCGCAATGTAGCCTAGCGGGTCGCGAAATTCAGCCCAGCTAGGCTCAAACACGGGGCACTCCGGCGGGGGACGGAACTCGTCAGATCCGGGTTCCATGTCGGTCCTTAATGATATGCTTTAAAATAAGAATCACACTTTCTTTAATGGCACGCGGGTTCCTCCTACTGAAAAGCCTAGCAAAATTTCATCTTCTCATGAATTCCAAAGTTACTTTAATCCCGCAGCGGCTTACCAATCACCAGGGCTCCCAATTTTCCAACCACCATCTTGATCACTGAGCTCTGTTTTGTGGTACCCGCCGTCTCACTCCGCGGATCGACTTTTTTCCGGCGTTATTTCCAAACCTGCGAGACCTTCTATACCTCAGATAAAATCTGAGAACAAAGGGCAATTATACTGGACGAAAGTAGCCACAAAGACTCGCTGGACTGCCATTCAAAGGCGCTCCGACGGACCTAAAAAGCAACCTAAAAATACTATGGCCGGATCTTCTTTTAAAATGGGACCACTGCGCAAGTTACGCCTGCGTATTACAGGGAAGGACCTTAAAAGGATCTGACGCGATCTAACGCCTGTGTTTCTCCGAGAAGTGTTCGTCTTTGCGGAAATGCTGGCCAGAAGCGCACCCTTTTTCTTTCTTTTTTTTTTTTTCTCCTTCATGCTGGTGCAAATCGCCCTCCATATTTTCACGCGGAATTTTTTACTAACATTCTCTGAGGACTCACTTGTGTTCTCAGCTCGCGAACTTTCCTGTCACAACCCGTTTACGAGCCAAGACCTGTGGTACGACACGTTTATGTTCTTGTAAACGTCTTGCATTAACAGTGCTCTCCACGTGAGCACATTTTTCGCTAGACTTTTTACCAACTCTAGATTAGACTTTGTGACAGAGAAAATCCACGTGATACATATTCCTAAAAATTACCTACCAGTACCCTAAATTTAAAACTGATCACAAATACCTGTACAGATAACGACAGTAACTTCAACGTTACTGAACAGACATACCACGAATTAACTAAAAGAAACACGCTGCTGATCTATTTTTTGATGTAGAATTATCTAAGCTGTTTTTAAGGGAAGTTATAGTTTATTGCGATTTTTAATTGCAAAGCAAGACGTCACACTTTGTTGCCTATAATTTTATTTATAATATTTTACACCCCATTAATAAGCAAAAATCACCTTATTTTGCTGTCCAAATTTTTAGAATCAATTCACTTTGGCATTCTTATTCTCTATACATTTTTGAAAAAAATATGCAAAAGATAAATTTTAAAAATTACCTGGTGGATCTCATTTGCCAGAAATGTTTTAAGTTTGCTTTGACTATTGCTTTATATTCTACGATTGTTTCTTCTTTTTTTCTTTTTTTTTGGAACAATTTATGCTTTCCATCTCGATTATCGGCTTCATTAGTTTATTATGCTACACTATATATATATTTCTGTGTCAAAAGTTATGTTACTTAATTTTCTGCTTTCATTGTACCAGTTTTTATCTACATTTCTCTATAAAAATCAGTTATAGTTTAGTGTGTCTTATTTCAGGTTATCAAATTTTTCTAACTTTTTCACTATTCAACATGATTGTGAAACAGCTTTATATTTTATTAATTCATCAGTCAATAGATATTTCAATTTCTACTTTTAGCTATTATAAATAATGTTGCTATAAACATCTGTGTACTGGTTTTTGGGTGCAGGCTTAGTTTTATTTCTCGTGTGTATACACCTGCAGGTAGAATTGGTGGGTTATAGGAAAACTAGGATTAAACTGTTGAGTAACTGACACATTGTTCTCTAAAGCATCTGTCTCATTTAATTTCCATCATTTAACTTCCAGAATTACTAATGAGACAATAATGTTGAGAATCTTTTGGTTTGCTTCTTGGCTTGTTCATGTGCTTAATATGCCTTCTTTGGAGAAATGTCTATTCAAGATTTTTGGCCATTTTCACATTGCATTGTCTTTTTTTTGTTGTTGTTTAGGTGTGGTTATTCTTACCTGATTTTGATGTTTGATTTGAAAAATAATAATAATAATTCTCTATGCTGGCTTCTCTCTCTCCTAATAGTGACCTTTAAACCGAAAGTTTTTTAATTTGATCTCTAGACAGTTTACTTTTTTCTATTGTCTCTTGTAGTTTCAGTGTTGCCTCAGGACATTTTGTCTAACCCAAAGTCACAAAGATGTACTCTCTTCTAGGAACTTTGTAGTGTTAGCTTTTACATTAAAGACTTGGATATATTTTGAGTTAACTTTTGTAAACACTGTGAAGTAATGATCCAAGTCAGTATTTTTGCATGTTGCCTTCTAGTAGTCACAACATTTATTGGAAACATTATTATTGGTTCATTAATTGTTCTTGGCACGCTGGATAGCATTGTTTGCCATTGATATATGTGTTTATTCTTGGACTCTCAATTCCATTCAATATATCTGTATGTATACATTCTAATGTCATATTGTTTTTATTGCTGTAATTTGTAGAATTTGTGAAAGGTTTTGAATTGGAAACACTGACTAATCCAACTTTGTTCTTTTTTTTTTTCAAGACTGCTTTGGCTATTATTTGTTTCTTGTATTTTTATTAGCTTGTCTATTTCTGCAGAGAAAAAAGCTGGGATTTCTACAGAGAAGCAAACTGGGATTGAGACAGAAATACTGAATTTTCAGACAAATTTAGGAAATATTTTCATCTAGGAAATTTAGGAAATATTTCCATCTAATTTTCCTATAGAGTACATGGACAAAGCATGTATTTTAATTTATTTAGGCCTTCTTGGATTTTCTTCAACATATTTTTATAGTTTTTAATATATATGTTAGTATTTAGTGTATATAGCATGTATTCTATATTTGAACTTAATTTCTTTCAGATTAATTTTTTTCTTTTTCTGCTACTATGAATCGTATTTTTAAGAAATTTCCCCTATGAAGCGTTTGTTAGTGATACACAGATATATGATTGGTTGTTATATGTTGATCTTGTGTCATACCACCTTGCTAACCTCATTTATTTTAATAATTTTTTTTCAACTTTTCAGAGGTACACATGTGTACCTTTTTTTTTTTAACTTTTTAGGTTCAGAGATACAGGATCTGAAGGTTTCATCACCCAGGTATTAAACCTTATATACATTAATTATATTTCCTGCGTCTCTCCCTCTTCCTATTCTCTGCCCACCAGTACAGCCAACTATGTATTATTACCCACTCTGTGTCTGTGTATTGTCACAATTTATCTCCCACTTATAAATGAGAACATGCAGTATTTGGTTTTCTGTTCTGGCATTTGTTTGCTGAGGATAATGGCCTCCAGTTATATTCCTGCAAAGACATGATCTTGTCCTTTTTTTGGCCGCATAGTATTCTGTGATGTATATATACCACATTTTCTTTATCCAGTCCATCATTGTTGAGCTTTTGAGTTGATTCCATGTCTTTGCTCTTGGGAATAGCTGTAGTGAATGTACATGTGTTATTGTAAATAGCTGCAGTGAACATACATGTGCATGCATCTTTATAACAGAATGATTTATAATCCTTTGGGTGTATACCCAGCAATGAGATTGGTGGGTTGAATGATAATTCTTTCTTTAGGCACTGAGGAGTTGGCACACTGTCTTCCGTAATAGTTGAACTAATTTACACTCCCACCAACAGCGTACAACATTCCTATTTCTTCAAAACCTCACCAGAATTTGTTAGATTTTGACCTTTTAATAATAGTATTCTGGCTGGTTTGAGATAGTATCTTATTGTGGTTTTGATGCACATTTCTCCAATGATCAGTGATGCTGAGCTTTTTTAAATGTTTGTCGCCTACATGTGTATATCTTCTTTTGTGAATTGTGTGTTTTTGTTCTTTTTCCACTTTTTAATGGGGTTCTTTGATTTCTCCTTGTAAATTTGTTTCAGTTCCTTATAGGTGCTGGATATTAGACCTTTGTCAGATGCATAGTTTTCAATTTTTTTCCTATTCTATTGGTTGTCTCTTAAATTGGTTGATAGTTTACTTTGCTATTGTAGAAGCTCTTTAGCTTAATTAGATGTCATTTGTTAACATTTTCTTTTGTTATAATTGCTTTTCACATCTTGTCATGAAATCTTCACTCCTACCTGTGTCCTGAATGGTTATTGCCTAGATTTCCTTCTAGGGTTTTTATAGTTTTGGGTTTTACATTTGCGTCTTTAATCTATCTTGAGCTAGTTTTTGTATATTGTGTAATTAAAAAGGTCCAGTTTCCATTTTTCCCAAATGGCTAGCCAGCTATCACATTACCATTTATTAAATAGGGAGTCCTTTTGCCATTGCTTTCATTTGTTAGGTTTGTTGAAAATCAGATAGTTATAAGTATGCAGTCTTATTTCTGAGTTCTCTATTCTGTTCTGTTGGTCTATATATCTGTTTGTACCAGTACCACGCTGTTTGGATTATTGTAGCCCTATCATATAGTTTGAAGGTGGGTCGCATGATTCATTTAGTTTTGATTATTTGGCTTAGAATTGCTTTGGCTACTCAGACTCTGTTCATTTCACATGAATTTTAAAATAGATTTTTCTAGTTCTGTGAAGAGTGTCACTGGTAGTTTAATGGGTATAGCACTGGACCTATAAATTGGTTTGGGCAGAGTAGCCATTTTATGATATTTATTCTCCACGTCTATAACCATGGAATTTTTTCTGTTTGTATCATTTCTGATTTATTGAGTAGTGATTTGTATTAATAATTCTTCCTATACAGATCGTTCACTTCCCTGGTTAGCTGTACTTCTAGGTGTTTTATTCTTTTTGTAACAATTTTGAATGAGAGTTTGTTTGGCTCTTGATTTTATTATTGATGGTGAATAAGAATGCTAGTGATTTTTGCACATTGATTGTGTATCCTGAGGCTTTGCTTATCAGCTTAAAAGCCTTAGGATCTGTGATGATGGATTTTTCTACATATAGGATCATGTTGTTTGCAAACAAAGATAGTTTGTCTTCCTCTCTATTTCAATGTCCTTCATTTCTTTCTCTTCCTTGATTGCCCAGAACTTTCAATACTATATTGGATGCAAGTGGTTAGCTGTATAAATGATTCTAGCTTTTGCCTATTCATTATAACATTGGCTGTAGGTTTGTCATGTATGACTTTTATTATTTTGAGGGATGTTCCTGACATGTCTTAGATGAGTGGAGTAGCACTAGGGTCTTTAGTCTTGTACCTAATTGGATAAAATGGCATGGAGACACCTGGGGTGGTTTTAAGGAGCAGAGAGCTTAATAGGCAAGAAAGTCTTGGAAGAAGAAAACAGCTCCCCTATACAGAGAGAGAGTGAGGGGGATTCCAACAAAGAGAAAACCCTGTGTGTGGCAAAAAAGTAGCTGCTTTATGGTGAGGCTGAAGGAGGTAGTGTCTGATTTGCATAGGGCACAAGGTATTGGTTTGACCAGGCATGTCATTCATATAGCCTGGAAAAAAACTGGCCCTTCTGCCCTAGCCTTTTAA